ATTGTAGACATGTTAAAATTCCACTGAACTGTAACTTAAAAACTGTTTATATAGCACAAAGGAAGAAATAACACACCTCTCCAGAATGTGGTCGCAGCGTGATGGTAGTCATGCCCTTTGACTCTCGAAGCTGAAGAAAAATAGTTACTTCATATTACACAGTTTTGACAGCACCAAGTTAGTTACAGAAGCGACTAGGGGGAATGGTACCTTATTTAACACATAGAGGTTAGCATAACAATAGTAGACATAGTAAGAAAATGCAGGATTGAATGCGTTAGTCCATTGAGCTGGAGTGGGCATGTGTTTTGTGGGACGTCTTTCAGGTTTGCTTTCATCATCAACCAAATCAAATCCAACAACCTGAAATAGCAAAGAAGAAACGAGCAACAAAAACAAATAAACAATCAAAACAAGCAAGAGACAGCAACCAGTCAAACCAACTCTTTATTGTGCAAAGACATGCGGATTAGAGGTTATTTGCAGATATGAATGCTAACCTGCTTCAAGAAAACATGGAGCTGGGGATGGGAATCAGGATCTACCGTCGCTTCAAACAGAGGAATGAAAATATTGTCCAGGATATTCTGGAAAGATGTCACGATACCCATGTCCTTATAAATGTTGTACAAGCGTGGGAGCTAGTGAGCAGAAAAACAGAAAACAAGGAAAATATAGCTCATTAGCAGTCATGTCACAAACACACGGAGAGAAAAAAACACATACACTCATGGAAGGACATGGAGCACACAAGTATCAAAGAGATGGCTAACCTGAATTAACCAGACAACATTCTCACTGTATAGATCATTGTTCACAATCCAACTAGCGAGTTGGTCCCACTCACTCATTTTTCTGCCATATATAGATATTCTGTATTCGGCCATCTGCGGTATTCAAAGTAGACATCAGGAAAAACAAAACAGAGCAATAATGGATCTGCTTTGGCAAGAAGATTTCTTAACACAGAATTTAAGCAATTCCATGATAATGCGCATATGTGAGGGAGTGTGAGTTTGATATGGTTACTGAGACTAAAAATCCAAGGCTTTTACTATTATATCTTTTCGTAGTATAACAAATTAGTTAAGAGTTTAATGCAGCTATAAAGCATATGCAACAAGAATAGCAAGCTTTGCGTTTGTAAGGGGGAATAGGAGGAGATCAGTTACCAAATCCTAAGTCTCTTTGTATTCCCAGCAATTATATTATAAGCTTAGGTATAATAGATTTGATTGTAACAGTGTTCCTCTTTTATAATGTTCGTTCTAAATGCATAAGACTACTGCAGTTGACCAAGAATAAAAGTACTGAAGATGCATGGGGCGTTTACCTGATATTTACTAGCTTCAAGGTCAGAGAAGACTTGCTTTGTTATCTCACCAAGAAATCGACCTAAAACCAAACAAAAAGAAATGTCAGGCAACCAAGAGAGCATAACTGATGCATCAAATGAACTAAAAACGGTAATGAGAGTTACTAGAGTATTCAATTACCTTGGATAAGATTATCCTGTTTAAGGAAAATTTCCCTAAGCCTACTTTGACCACAAGGATTATACTTTAGGTTGAACTTATCAAAACGATGAAAGGTACTTTTGTCTGCATGAACATCCAAAAGGTCGACGTTCAGGTCATATCTGTGCAAAGTTCAAACAAAAGGAAGAAGGTTTATTTCTTCATTGTCATGGTAAAAATGGGAAAAAAAAATGCAATACAGGCAATCTGCGGTGCGCAACAACCAGGGGCTCCTAAGAGAGTAATCTAATAGTCTTGGAGCCATCAAATTCAGATTGAACTAAGTTGGGAATGTTTAGAAGTTGGAAATGTAATTACCCAGTCAGATCCAGGCTCTCAAAAACTTCTCTCAAGGTCAAATATGTTCCATCTCGGAATATTACAACCTGTATAGAGGAGCAAAAAATTTATCATATCAACAAATTGTATACTATCCTAAAACATATGGTTTGCAATTGTTACCTCATCGGGTTCTTTCCGGAGCTTAGACTTGATAAACCTTAAAAGGTGTTTCTGGTTCATGCAAGCTGAATGATGCACATGAGTGTCGACTTTCCTAACGTTATAAAAATCACGATGTGGTGCACTTTTTTGAGCAAGAAATTCTTTATCCGCATTAAGCATCAAATGGAGATTAAATTTCTGAAACAAGAAAAAAAGAGTCATACTGTTAACCAGATGAAACTGGCTTATTGACATTTATTCTTCTCTAAATAAAACTCTTGCCTGTTCTAGGAGCACTAGTCGACGGTGGCACAAAGTCCGGATGTTTCCTGCAGCTATGACTTTGAGTACGTGATGCAAGTCAGTGAAAAACGCTGTGGCATCAGCTACCGGGAAGAGCTCTTCTTTTGCTGGGAAGTATGAAACAGAACAAGGGTCAGTTTTTCGAAAAGTAAAAGAATGCAACCAAATCAACTTTCATGGGTACAGGCAAAAGAAGCATTAGAATTTCAATACTAATGCTCTTACTATCTTTATTTGCAAACACGTGGACTACCCCATCTTGCATCTCAAAATAATGCTGTAAAAACAAAGATTGGAAAGTTAAATTCATCAATGCATGGTGTTTGATGCATAATGCATGGTGTTTGATGACATATATAAGGAGTAATGACTCACATCAGATTTTCCCTGAGGATAGTGTGCAAATGGCTCTGTATTAGGCTTTGGAGTACTAGGATCAGATATGACTTCTTTTTCCCATGGTGCAACTGTTTCTTGGAAGACATACCTCTTCCGCAGTTCAAGACATTCTTGCAGACATTTATAGGCTTCAACTTCATCGGATGTTGGCACCTCTAAACAGAACATATGTAAAATCTGAATAAGAAATGTGTTGAACTCTAATTGTTTCAAGCTATAATTCATAAACTATACTTTAAGGATTCCAATGGCTCAGCTCCCACATAGAGTAAAGCCTTAATTGACCCTTGCTTGTCTCACTTAAGACTAGTTATATAATTATCTGTAACTCCACTTAATTACTTGCCACTAGAAAAAAACTTTTAAACTAGTGGGACTTACGAAACAAACATGTCATGATTTGTAACAACATGAAAAGAGCACTAAGAAAACAGAAACCAGAAGTTAGGCAAGATGACAGAACGAAAAAAAAAAGTGACCATTCTTACCAAGAGGAACATTAAGACGGACAAAGGTCTCTTGCTCGGGCTCCTTACGAAGAATATCAGCGGCAATAGGATCAGGCTGAACTCCATGTAAGTCACCAGACACACTGTGTGATCGAATCATACTTGAAGCAGCCATAGATATTTGCTCTTCATTGGCATCTACAGGCTGCAAAAAAACGTCTTACTTGTAACTCCACCCCATTCAATCACAAAACATGGATTTGAAATATGATAAAATCAAGAAACTCACCAATTCATTGTCACCATTAGCTTGCAAGTAGGAAGCATCTAAACCCTCAGTATTAGTCAAATTATCATCATCATCAGATTCTTCCACACTCTCAAAAGCACTAGCACTAGCAACAGGGGATTTCGGAGAGATTGGTCTAACAAAGCTTCCAGTTTTCCTGATACTACTAGCTCCATGTACTGAAGCTCTCCCTGAAAAAAACAATCACAGACAATCTATCAGCATCATCAAAGGATTGCAATTGGAATCAAATAGCACTAAAACAACACTAAACCCGTAAAAGGATCAATTTTTATAATCCAAAATCTAATCTGATCGATTCAGGTTTGATTCTCGAACCTTCAGATGGCGTATGAAGCCTCGGGAGACCAGGAGGGATTTCATCGACATAAACGTGACCGTTGCTCCGACCTGTATCACCACCGCCGCCATCGGTAAAAGGAGTGGCATCTGGAAGAGAAGCAGGACTGCGACCGTATTGGTCAATACCCTTCCTTCTAACCTGGCTCCGCCGTCTCACCAAGGTAGGATTTTGAGGCTCGTCTCCTTCAGGGTTCTCTTTACGCTCCTTACCACGCTCAAGGACTAGATTCAGGGCCTTGAAATGCATGAAAAACCCAGAAACAGCAACAAAGGAAGCTCCAAAGAGAGCCGCGAGGGCAAGTTGGTAAATATTGGGTTCCATGAGTGACAGACACAATCAAAATCTGTGTGTGAGCTCAGGTCAGAAGAGAGAGTAAGACCACGATTTCGTTTTAGTGGCGATGGTGGGAGGTCAAGGTATCGTTGATATTTATAAGCCCACCGAGTGAAACCACGCCACTTGCAAAGGCTGGGTCTTTGAGAAAAGTTGAAACCTTTTATGCCTAAAAAGTAAAAACTAAAAAGTGTTGATAATTATAAACAAATAATTTCTTCGTTAGTGTTCAATTATTTCAGACACCAATTTTTGTTTTTATCTGTCCAAATTTTATTTTATTTATGTTTTGCTTTTATACGTGAAACTCTTCATATTTTAGAGTTTTTTTTTAAAAAAAAGGTTTTCATTTACTTATAAATATTGTACAAAATATTAAACGGAAACAAAGTTTCTTCTATATTCAACATTGACACTTACCAAGGCTCTTACCAAAAAAAAAAAAAAACATTGACACATCACAATCCCTAATTCTAAGAGAATAATAAGGTCAACACTTATCATTTTAAGAAAACTAGGTTTTGGGCCTTTTGGGCCTTTGGCATTAAGGGTGAATTAGATTCTCAAGAGAAGTATAGGTCTTAATATTAACTTGAGCCCAGATTACATATTGTGTTCACATTGGTTATTAACTTATTATTACTTATTAGCCAAATGACTTGAAGAAATTACTTTAACTGAATTTTAAAATGATCACAACTCACAAGCTCACGAACTCTATGTTTTCATTGTGAAGCATCATTTAAACAAAATTACAAATGGTTGTTAACTCCAAATACACCCCAAAAAACTGAAAAGTGAAGTTTTACCACCTATACAAAACACAAATAACTCATGCATATCTCTAATGTCACAAGGAAAACAATACACACAAAAAATAACAAAAAGAAGAATAAGAAAAATCATAGAACAATGGTGACACCTCTAGCACCATGAACATAAGAAGGATGTGCAGCTTCTTGATCTCTCTCAAACTGTTGCACATGCCTTGTAGCATCAAATTTCTCTCCATCACCCCAAAGAGCATAAGCTTCTTCCCCATGTGCAGCGTCGTCTCCAATCCCGAGCTCTTCCTCAGCCATTCTCAATGGTATGAACACCCTAATAGCGAGTAGTATGATAGTCGTCGACACCACATTCCAGACGGCAATGAAGGCAGCTCCTGCCAACTGTTTCAAAAGCTGTTTGCCGCCATTGCGGCCGTAGAAAGCTCCATTGGTCTCTGGGAGAGGAAGTATCAAGACGCAGAGCTCAGGATGTGCAAACAAACCTGTCATTATTCCACCAAGTAAACCGGCCACGGCGTGTGTGTAAAACACCGCTAATGTATCATCCACCTATTTTATTTTAAGCCAATCAAAATATTACAGTTCAAATCATTCTTACATGAATCAATGTTACATAATCAACTTCAATTTATTTATTTTTTGTTGGTTATGAAATTAAAGTGGGATTTATGATCTAATTTACCTTTTGAAGGAGAGCAGATTTCTTGTGAAGGATCATCATAGAAGCCCATGGAACTGTTCCTGAGACTACTCCAACTATTATAGCAGCCCATGTTTGGATCAACCCTGCAATATATATATTTCATTTGTCAGTGTAATAAATTAACCATGCAATATTACTAAGTTTCCACATAATTTAACTTTAATCATTAATAAACTTAAGAGTAAACATAAAACTTGAAAATAAGATGATTGAGACCTGCTCCGGGAGTGACGCCGGCTAGGCCAGTAACCATGCCTTGAATTGCTCCGATGACAGAAGGTTTGCCAAAGAAGATGACATCAAGTGTGGTCCATACGAGGAGGCTAGTCGCGGCCGAGAGGTTAGTGTTGAGCACCGCGATCGAGGAGGTTAAGTTGGCGGCGTAAGGAGCACCGTTAAAACCGGACCATCCCATCCATAGAAGCCCAGCTCCGGCAAGCATTAATAGAACATTGTTCGGTGGGAATCTTTCTCTAGAATGCTGGCTAATTCCACGCACGTGTCAGTTGTCACACTATAATTCTGTGTTTTCGTGAATGAAGAAATCATTCCACCACTTTTGTTATTTTGTAACTATCTAACACGTGAAGGAATTTAGGAAACGAGAGATTCTAGAGAAGTAACATAGTTTTGTATATTTTTTAAAAAGTGCTTAAAGTTAGAAAACGATCGAGTTTTCTGGAAAAAGGAAAAAAAAAAAAGCAAAGATAAAGTAGTAAATAGAAACTTGGGCATGAAGCTAAGGATATGACTGGTCGCCTAGAATTTATAACCACACAGTATTATTACAAAAGTATACAAACCGAAACTTCTGGCAGTGATGATGAAACCTCAACGCAATGTTATCGTCACATCAATTTAATACCTCATTATAATATGAATGAAATGGCCGATTAAACAGAAAATACTTATTTTTATTTTCAAAAATAAGAAAATGTTAATACTCACCTATGTTTTTCTTACACTTTTCACCCTAAAAGAAATTTTTTATTATATTATTTTAGAACTTGACTTTCTGTTAAAAATTTACTGTTTTTTTATTTCGCATTGGCTAATAGAAATTTTAACAAATTATAATTATTTTAATTAAATTTATTATTTTTACCGAACTAACTCGGTAATAAATTCATTTCATACACATTATTTGACCATATGTCGACTGTCAGAATCTAGAATACTATTTGTCAAATGAAAGTGATTACATTATGAGATAACGATAGAAATATCCACATCCCTCCTAATTAACATATCTTTTATTAACGAATTGACTAATAATTTAAGACGCTAATCCCTTGCTCTATAGATCATTTAAATTAATAATATAACATATACTAGTACTAATATTAATATGACATCTACCGAAAGCTTTTTTCTTTTTAATATTTTGTCAAAAGAAGACACACACAAAAAAAAGTAAATTTATATTAGAAAAAATCCAAGACAGAGAAAGAAAAAAAAAAGTAAACGCGTAGACAGATGGCGACAAGAGAAAGAGAGAGTGGAGAAGAAGAAAAGAATTGCGATCAAAGAAAATTAGACATCTTTCTTCCAACGTTTTCACATTACAAAACACAAACCAAAAGATAAAGAAAACAAGAAATATTTTTTCTTCGATCTGAAAAAGTGAAAGCTTCTTCTAAAATCACAAAAACAAAATCTTTTGCTTTAAAGATCGTTTGGTGATTTTGTTTTTTGTTTTTTTTTTACTAGTTCTTCTTGATTCTTTCATATGGATGGACATCAGCATCATCACCTTCACCAGCTTCAATATCTCAACAAGCATCATCTTCATCATCCTCAATCGCAAACGCCGGAAATAACGTCTCCCGTAGCGGTTGGGGATAGGTTTCCTCAGTGGAGCGTTGAAGAGACAAAAGAGTTTGATAGGGATAAGAGGAGAGCTAGATCAGACTTTCATGGAGACAAAACGGAACAAGCTTCTTTGGGAAGTTATCTCTAACAAGATGAGAGACAAAAGCTTTCCTCGTAGCCCTGAACAGTGCAAATGCAAGTGGAAGAACCTCGTCACTCGTTTTAAGGTCTCTTCTCTCTCCCTCTTCTTTCATTTTGTGGATGTGTTATAATCTTGGAGCTCTTGCATGGAACAAATAAATAATTTTTTTTTGTAACCAAGATATATTGAATCTTATATAGTCCATAATCTTTCCGGGACAAAGACAAAAACATTGTAAATTCTGAATCTTGTTGTCCATAATATTCTGAGTAGTTTAGTTTTATATGCATATGTAATCTCATTGGTGATGTATTGGTTGATGTTTCTAGGGATGTGAGACAATGGAGGCAGAGACAGCGAGACAACAGTTCCCTTTTTATGATGATATGCAAATTATATTTACCACTAGAATGCAGAGAATGCTATGGGCTGAATCCGAGGGAGGAGGAGGGGGAACAAGCGGGACAGCGAGAAAGAGAGAGTATTCTTCAGAAGAGGATCAAGAAGAGAATGTGAATGAAGAGCTAGTAGATGTCAGCAATGACACGAAAGTCCTAAACCCGAAAAAGAACATTGCAAAGAAGCGAAAAGGCGGTAGTAATAGCAATAATGGTGTAAGAGAAGTGTTAGAAGAGTTTATGAGACATCAAGTGAGAATGGAGAACGAGTGGAGAGAATGATGGGAGGCGAGGGAGAAGGAGAGAGCAGAGAAAGAAGAAGGATGGAGAAGGAAGATGGAGGAGCTTGAGAAAGAGAGGGTGGCTATGGAGCGGATGTGGCGGGATAGAGAGGAACAACGGCGGTCGAGGGAGGAGATGAGAGCAGAGAAGAGAGATTCGCTTATTAATGCATTGCTTGCTAAGCTTACTAGAGATGGTTCTCTCTAATCTTTCTCAGCTATTATTCTTAACCTAAGTTAACCTGTTCATTATATGCTTGTTTGGGGTGTAGCGTAGGTTTGATTATTTGGTGGGGGGAATAGTTAGTTTATTCATGGAAACACTCAACACTCATATATATATTGTTTGCTATGACTATGAGGACATTTTGAGTTTTAGTGAGACTTTAGTAACATATTAACCCCACATTCTTTCTTCATGGTTTATATTTTGGTAAGCCAAATTTTTTTCATACCATATAAAATTAGTGGAATAATGGTTTTAATTAGTACTTCGTAGAAGGATCTTGTATAGTATTCGTAAAATGGAACGTTAAACAACGGAACAAAGTTATTTTTCCGAATAATCTTGTATGTTTGTAGAGTGATTAGTAAATATACATATTGTTGGCGATGTAATTAATACTTTGAAATATCGGTCCCAAAAAATCATCTTCATGCAAAAGAGATACGAAAATACTAAGAAAATAGTTTTGTGGACTAATTTTGATGAGAATGTAGAGGTCAAGAGAACAAAACACAAAATTAATACAAGTACCAAACGTGGTAGATGCAAGAATGAAAAGTTATCCTATGAAATCTGGGACCATTTAGGTCGATTGTTTCTAATCTTTTATATCATTTGTCAATAGATTCTTCTTTTTCTTTTGATGATGAATCATATCTAACATGGCAATACGATACGTGTATGCGTGTGACGTTTCTTATCCACATAAAATTTTGTATGATATTCATTTGTAATTTACATATATACATGGAAGGAGATCTTTTGATGAATACACATTCTATTCTAGGAATACTTTATTGGGATATTCGGTTCTGTATAGTCGTCTCTCAATTGGAAAGCGTATGTATGTCTAACCATTTATAAGGCTTTGTATAAAGTCTTGCATAAGGTTTTCAGTACTTTTCAGTCATTTAATAGAACTAAATGGAAATTTATAATTTGGAATTGATGACTCAAAGATCTCAATAAATATTTAATTTGCTAAAAATGCATGGAACAGAAGAAGTGGCAGACATAGTTATCTTTATCCCACGTTTGGATCAAAGTTTTGAAATAAAATAGGTGTTCGATATCAACATGGTAACTTCACCCCAGCTATATCTTGATGGCCCACAAGAATATCGAAACTGTAAAACATTTCAAGGGGTGTATGTAAAGGTTAACGCGCTTTAGCTTGAGGCGATGAATAGATGAATCATGGATCGTCCTCGTTGAAAGGGACAATAAGATATATTGTCACCGACATTGACGTTTTTGGTTGCAAAGCAAAAGCCACAAGTTGTTTCCTTGTTTTTTTTTACGAAGGGTATTCAATTTAAAACCATAGTAACTAGTACATGGTTATATGATTTTTTGGTCATAAACTTAGAAAGAGTATTGCTTAGTAACAGTAAGGGAAGTCAAAGGCCACGAAAGTTTCAAGCCGGCCGCATGGAGTCATCTCTAAGGGCTGTATAGAACTCTGTAAGCTTTATAAATGCGAAAAACAGAAAACGAGTTTGAAACTATGGAAGAGAACCCAAGCGTGTTTATTAGGATTCTAAATCATGAATGTTTCGAGTTACACAACTAGAAATAGAGAAGATAATCGGATGAAACTAATTCAAGATATTGCCAAGTTCGCCATTCTCATACATTGAGGTCAATATATCACAACCACCTACAAGTTCTCCTTTCACAAATATCTGTGGAAACGTTGGCCAGTTGCTGTAATTCTTCAGCGTCTCCCTTAGCCCCGGATTATACTCATCGTCAAGAACATCTACTGTTTCATAATCAACTCCTTGGCTTTCAAGAATCCCAACCACTCTCTGTGAGAATCCACATTGAGGAGCACTTCTCGATCCTTTAATGAAAGCTACCACTTTACTCTCTTTCACTAAACGATCAATCAGTTCCTCTAAGGGAACGGTGAGCTCGACATGGCGACCTGGAGTGAGACGGATATCAGATTTCTTCCTCGGAGTCTGTTTGACAAATGTGTTGTTCCCTGACTTATTCCCCGGCGGGACTTTTCCGTTTACTTTTATGTGTTCTTCTATCCATGATTTCCATGCTTGTGTTAGAACCGCTTTGTCTGGTTCTTCTACTATACCAACCTAGCAAACCAAACGATGAATCATTCAAAGAAAATGTCAGCTATGAAGGGTATCAACAATACCAAAACTTGTCAATATCCAATCACCTCATCAAAAATGAAGAAACAAGGTCCTCAAATAAAAACCAAACGGGTCCTTACAGTTTCTATATCCATGTCAATAGATAATGTCAACTTGATTTCTCAAGAGCTATTGTAGATTTGACCGTTTGTAAGCTAATAGAGTTAAAGATCATGAACACAAGATCTTATTACTTGAAAGAACTTATCATAGAATGAGAATCAAAACACAAAACTAACCAAAATACTCCAACATCTCCTACAATGGCTAAATTGCTAATCTGACCAGTGTAGTTGAAGAAATTCAAGATCAAGAACTTCATAAGCTCAAATTTTGCAAGCGAAAAAGTCAACCACGAAACATTGAATCCTTGTCTTGTATCTCCCAACCAAGATTTACAACACAATTGCTACGTTATAGGGGTTTCGGATTCATCAATATCAGAATTCGTTTGACGAAATCCTGAATCAGTACGACAGAGATTGGGCGATGAGCTTACCCTAACGGAACCACAAAGCTCTGGCACTGATTTGAGATGAGAAGAGACACTCGCGGCGATGTTCCGAGATATTCCGACGAATTGAAGCTCCTCGTTTTTATCGTATACAGCGTAGACGCCGGAAGCGGATGGAATTGAGTCAGCCTCTGCAATCGGAAGCAGCTCCGTCTCCGTCAGAGACTTGACGGCGGAGGCGATTAAGAAGAGACGACGACGAGACCGGACTGTGTCAGTGTTACGGAGTGCGAAGGAGAGAGAGGGAAAAGAGAAGGATGGTTTGAAGCGTGAATAGAGAGTAAGGCCAGGGGTATTTCGGGAACATGTGGACGAAAAACACGCGGAGAGGCTGAGGCGTGCAAAGAGGAGGAAAAGCTGATTGCAGCCATTTTTGTCGGAGCTAACACAGAGTTATCGGTGGAAATAATGAGCTCGTTTATTTTAAAAACATAGAATTGTATTTATATGGGCCTAAATTGGGCTGATATTAAGGCCTCATGATACCACCACCATATAATTATCGTGCACAAGAATTTTTTACCATGAATGATAAGATGAAACGCACATGGGTAACCTGAGGTTTGTTGCTCGAGAGAAGAGCTTACTGGAAAATTTCACACCACAATTTTCAGGATCTAGTGAGCACGCATAGAACATCAGGAACTGCAGACGAAATCAAAATGAGTCTAAGCCAAAGATATCTCATGCCAACAATGAAGTAAAGTGTCAGGAGTCTAGAATGACGAATTATCTAGATGAATCTAAGCCAAGACATCCCATGCCGACAATGAAGGAGCCTAGCACCTTGTAATCCTGAAACTTTCAACCATCAAGTTAAGTTTTGTGGATTTTGCATAAACAGCAAACAAACACACTAACCTACCTCCTCTCCTTCATTCATGGTGCCTTCAACTGCAACTTCAAGTTCCATATCAAACATGCCTATACTGGAGTTATCTTGGAGAATATCATTTCATTTACTTACCACTTTACTTAGTGGCTATACTCTATACTTGTATGGAAAATACAGTTGTTTATGAATCAAATTCCGTCCACTTACATCGAGATCTCACAACCTCTCCATTACCACCATAAGAAGCACGTTGCCAATAATTTTTCCTATTGAGCTGTTCTCCAACCTCAACAAGTTATCCACATGTCATCAAAACCTGCAAGACAATAAGCTTGCTGTTACATTTGTCTAAACTTGAACAGAACTAAAAACTTACATGGTCTTTGTTGTGTATTTACGAGTATGGACAGTAATTTTGAGGGAGAAAGGGAAACTAAATACGAAATCTTGTGGAGAGCTGCGTGCACCCGGGAAAGAACTTCCGGCATCTTATTGTTGAGTCTGCAGTAAAAGTAAATATGAGCATCTCCAAACAAGAGTTGGGATAGTTTCCGCTAGTAGTGGCCTAAAGATGGAAAAGGAGAAAATCACAAACTGTTAAAAGCTCCTTAAGCAGATAATATATCTGGTTGACATGAGGGGTAGTTGCTGAGCTGTGTACCAGTGATATAATTAGGTCCAGCAATGCATATATTACATTTGGTTTGTGATCCCAAATTCTCATTCCAAAGACAATAAATGTGATGAATCTCAGAGGAAGGTAAATAAGGTATGTGTGAATTCAACTGTAATACTAAAGAAAAAAAAACTTGCAAGAGAAAGAAGCCGTTGATGGTGAACTTCATCTAAGTAAGTAACAGAGCACGATAGAATTTTTAAGTGTGTCTGCAAAGCAAATGAGAAATAAACATGTCTTAGCAAGCAACAACAAATTTAGAAAAAGAAAAAGAGACGATTGTCAGATGAGGGAAAAGACACATCTCTTGATGTGCCACAACATCAAACATCGATGGACATTTATTGAACAAGCTGAGTATACTGATCGATATCCCTCTGGATTTAACAAAAGATAATTCTTTTAAAGAACACACACGGAGAAATAAGCAACATTTGTAATGGCAAACACCAAAGCTGTGTCGCTTAACTCAACATATTTAAACATTGGGTTAAGAAGAGTTAAAACTGGAATGAAAATCAACCAAAATTTTGATAGAAACCATTAGTTATTTTGGCGCCCCCCTTACAATATTATCCTACTAACAAAAAAAAGTAAATGAATGTTCAAGGTAAGAAGTAGGCTCTGAATGTAGCGTTTCCCTTGCAGTTCTTAGAGATTGCCGTGTAGACATCCATCAAGAGCCTCTCAAGCTTCAGAGCAAAGTATTGCTCAACACCATCACTCACGATAGCCTGATAAAGTTTCTAAACTTAGTTTGTGTTTCTAACAATGTCAAAATGAGATAAGGAGAAAGACAAACCTGGATTTCAGATGGAAACTCTCTGTAGTGAGAAATCACGTTTCTAATGAACCTTAGCAAGTCTTTTACGTAGTTGTAATTGTAATTACCGCCCATGGCCACCATGTGACTGACAAGATCCGCATCCAGGAGTTTATTCCAACCAGCATAATTCCACCCTACTCTTGCATGCAGGTCCTTTATGACTTGAGCAGAAGCATCCAGATTCATTATGTACTCAGTGGAGTCTCTCAAGAAGTTGCGTCTCCTGTCAGAATCCCAGAAAAAGGGATGTTGAACCGCGTCGGAAGCAGTAATACTGCAACTACTGCAAATACAAACCCACAAAACCAATAAATTAGAAACAACATTTGTCAAGTAAATCTAAATTATAATCTAAATCAAATAAATTACCCTTGATTCCGCTCCAGCAGATTGGCGATGAGACATGCAGCTTCACAATTCTTTAAGAGAGAGGTAATCACTTTCACTCTTGAGCTTTGTCGAATATTGTTTCCACGGACCTTCTCATCTCCATACGGATGATGCCCAGTAAACGCATAGAATAATATGCATCCCAGCTGAAACAAGTTAGTAGAATCAGATTCCTTACTATTCTTCAACTGCTCCGGTGCTCGCCAATTGGCATCTCCAAAATCTGCAATGTGTAAATATAATTTTATAACAAAAAAAAAAAGAAAATTAAAACTTAAAATGTTTGATCAAACACTTACTTTTGGAAGTAAATCCAATCTCTGCGCTTTTGCCTAGACCAGACAGTTTTGCAACAATTTTCTTCCCCTCCTTGCATATAAGAACATTTTCCGGCGTCAGATTGCGGTGAATTATTTGCTTGCTATGCAAATGATTCACTGCAGAAACTACGTTCCTGGATCACAAAGCAAACAATTAATTAATAATATCAATAATTATGCATCAAACAAGATAATAAAATACCTCATAAGTTGTATCATCAAAGGTGCAGGAATTCCAATCTCTGTCCACAACTGACCATCTATTATCTCATCTAGTGAATCTGGTTCTTCTTGCAACTTTTTCTTAGCAAAGCGTGTCAAATCATCTAAACAGCACACCCACCTTTCTAGGCACAGATAGGAGAAATTGTCCACTTTCTTCAATCCATAGTACCTAATGATATTAGCATGTGTGTCTGATTCACATAGTAGCTTCCTCTCATTTTCTATCTCATCTTCACTAGAGAGAGATGGATTCAGCCGCACTGCTGGTACGAGACGGTATGTTCCCAAAATACCCATGAAAACAACGCCATCTCTTCTGTGTGGAATTGTCATCTTTGAAGAAATGGCTAATTCGTTGGGCCCATCCTTAGCTGGTTTAGATGCATCTGCAACTGTCTCATTTCCGGGATCTTCTGCATTTCCTGGTTTTTCATCCTCGTCCACAATGGACACAAGTTTTTGAAGAACAACTGACGTGGTCTGTCTACCATTATCTCCATTAACTCCT